CTCTATTAATCACCACAGAGATATTTCCCTGTCCCCCATTAGAATGTCTGACGCTCAACTTCTCGAGAGCTCCTCTTTGCGAGTGCTCGGTCTCTCATTGACTGCTGACCTGAGATGAAACAAATACATTGAGTCAATAGCTTCGTCCACCGCTAGAAAAGTTGGCTCCCTGTGCCGCGCCAGGAAATTATTCTCCCTCGGAATCGATCCTTCAAATCTACAAATCGACCATTCGCCCTTGCATGAAGTATTGCTGCCATATATGGTCTTGAGCCCCTTCAGTTTGTCTCAAGATCCAGAGAGGGATATGAATTGTAATCGGCCCTGTTCTGGCATCTCGTCTGCAGTCGCTCTCTCACAGACGTACCGTTGCCTCTCTCTGTCTTTTTTATAAATACTTTCATGGTAACTGCTCCGATGAGCTGCTTTCGTTAGTTGTCAGACTTCACGAATTTAAGCGTTCTACTAGGCTGGCATTTCGCTCACACCCTTTCACTGTCGAAACTGTTAAATGTAGCCGTCTTTTCTACTCTAATAGCTTCATGTCTTGCACTTCTCGCCTGTGGAATTCCCTCCCTTCTTCCTCTTTCCCTGATAGCTATAATCTCCAACTATTCAAATGGAATTCCAATCAACATTTCCAGATGCCCTGATCTATCCCCTATCCTTCTCTTCATCCTTTCCTCTATCACTCCTATTTGCTCTCGCACCAACTCTCTGTAAACCCCTTGCGTGCTAGTGGATTCTCGCCTTGCTTGGGGTGAAACACTTTTAAAAAAATCGTTCACACTATAACATTCCTATCCAGACGACTTACGTTACACCTATCTGACGACAGCTCCATCAGATCCTATTTAAACACACACAGAAACTTACCAGACTCCATCCGAAACATATTAGTAGAAAATACAAGCATAATAACCCCATCACATGTAAAAAAGATTAAAAATAATGGAAGCCTTAATAATATAAAAGAAAAAAAAACAACACTCAATAATATTAACTACGAACACGGCCACAATGTGCTTACTGTGTTCGTAAAAGAAAACATCCCTTTAACTCTAGATACATACAAACAACGCATACATCCAGTTAAAAAAATAAGTATAAAATCATCCTTGATAATGGCTAAAAGTCTAGCCGAAAGCTCTCGTTATTACAGAACATTTGGACAGTTTTTACACACCCTGTGTCCAGAAAACAAAAAAACTTTTACGAACACCAGAAAAATTAAATAAAAAGTTTAATCTCAGTACACTGTCTGACGTCTTTAATGAAACATGTATTAATGAATGGTTGCTGCCTAAATACAATATATATATATATATATATATATATATATATATATATATATATATATATATATACTTTTGATCTAGGCCAGCTGGCATTAATAATGCCAGGCGCTCACTGTATATATTAAAATATAAAGGTTGTATACCTATTGCCAGATCGCTAGATACACGGCTACAAAGAAAGACGTTTTTATTCTTTCAAATAACTTTGTGTTGCATTTCATTTTACTTTTTGGTTGCATTTGATTGCGTCTTTGTCTGTCGTTTTAATCAGCATAAGATCTCACCCGCTTCGTATAAGAGAAACCTGGCGGACGCCCATCTGCTTTAACTGCCAAACAACGTAAAATCAAATCTAACGTTTAAGTCATCATTTCATTCCGCGATCTCTCTCGGCGGTATACTATGTTTCGTTCCATTTCTATTGATTGTATTTTTAGCGCTGGTATATATTTTATTTCGTTTTTAAGATGAACTATTGTCATCCATTCATATTCATTTTTGGAGTGATGGATAGCAGCTCGGATTGAGGACTTGGAGAGCCGAGTTCGAATTCCACTCGAATCCATTACATTCGCTTACGTGCTAATACCGTTAGGAAAAGGATGAATCCTTGTCTTCTTCCCCCCAGCTATGGGTAAATAGCAGGACAGACCGGGTTCTATAACCTTGGATGGCAACCGGTCTACCGCAGAAAGAAATGGCAACCCACTGCGGAAAAAATCTGCCTCGTCAGTCATGTATCGAAAGATACATGATCGCCTATGGGTGTATCACTCATGCCACATAATTGACTGACCTTTGGGAAAGGTATGAATCCTCTTCTTCTCCCCATTCCCAGCTATGGGTAAATAGCAGGACAGACCGGATTTTATAGCCTTAGATGGCAACTGACCTACCGCTGAAAGAAATGGCAACCTATTGCGGGAAAAAAATCTGCCTCGTCAGTCATGTATCGAAAGATACATGATCGCCTAAGCGTGTATCACGCATGGCACATAATTGACTGATGAATTTTTTTTTCGCAACTTTTTTTAATTCATGTCGTCGATTTACAGCAAAAAAAAAAAAAAAAAAGACCCAGCATGATCGGTAATAAAGAATGGACGTGATTCTTCCAAGAGAATTTAATTGTTCGGCACAGAAATGGAGGTAACAAGCGTGAAGGAGAAAATTGTTTTTCTTAACGCAGTCGAAATGTAGAAAATGATGGCGTGACTGGCGCTACCCGCAAATAGAGTTTGAGAAACGGGTGGAAGGGAATTATTTGAAAAAAAAGAAAAACGTGTAAGGACTCACTGTCCCACGACAACGTTCTCCCACTTAAATCCTAGCTGAGACACCCTGGGTCAAGTTAAGAGATTAATAGGGGAACAAATAATAACTGTAGACAGAACAAGAGTGGGTGGTTGGAGGAGGGGAGAGTGGGTGAGTTAGTTGGCTTTGTCGAACAAAGGTAAGAAGGGAGATTATGAGCAGAGGAGAGAAAGTAGCAGTATCTTTACAATAATAGCTGTACTACTACTACTACTACTAGTACTACTAGTACTACTACTACTACTAATAATAATAATAATTACTTACTCGAAAAACTTGGAGGAGGGTAAAGGCTGACTTCTGTCAGAATACTGAGAAGGGTGCTGGGAATTGAGCAGAATTACTGCCGTTCGCTCTCTAATCGTAACAATAAAAAAACTGGCATTAAATACTACTACTCTGAAGAAGAAGAAGAAGAAGAAGAAGAAGAAGAAGAAGAAGAAATTGGGAAAGAAGAAGAAGAATATTGAAAAGAAAGATAATGTGAAAGAAGAAGATGGGGGAAAGAAAAAGGAGAAGAAATGGAAAAAGAAGAAGAAGAAGAAGAAGAAGAAGAAGAAGAAGAAGAAGAAGAAGAAGAAGAAGAAGAAGAAGAAGAAGATGAGAAAAAGAAAAAGTAAATGGGAAAGAAGAAGAAGAAGAAGACGGAGGCGAAGAAGAAGACGCTGAAGAAGTAGACACTAATTTGAAAAAAGCTAACAAGTTTTCGGCTAAAAATTAAATCTTACAAAAATACTGAGTATAATCGACTGATGATTGATTAGAGGCAATAATTATTGTAAGAATTGACGTTTATCGCCGTCTATAAGTCGAATTTAAGCTACAAATGAAATCTCGTAATAATATTGTTATTATAATCGATTGATGGCTGTTGAGGAGAATACAAAGCGACGTCTGTCATTGTGGATATGAGTAAGTCGAGTTTATACCACAAATTTTAAAAGCATAAAATAACGGATGAGGATATTGCATACGTAGAAATCAGAAAATGTTGTGTAGCGTAGAACTTAGTTACAAAGAAAAATCGTCATCATCCTCATCATCACCATCATCAATTTTTTTAAGCGTTTCACCCCAATCAAGTCGAGAAGCCACTAGCACGCAAGGGGATACAGAGAGTTGGAGCTAGAGCAAATAGGAGTGATAGAGGAAAGGATGAAGAGAAGGATAGGGGATAGATCAAGGCATCTGGAGACGTTCCAAACGATCCTCCGCAGGTTTTTGAATTCAGAGTTGTCCTTCTCATAGACTAGTTGCCATCCAAGGCTATAGAACCCAGACTGTCCTACTATTATATCCATATCTGGAGGAAGAAGAAGAGGATTCACACCTTTCCCAAGGGTATGTGCATGTAATGGATTCGATTGGAACCACCAGCCTGACTATTTGACAAATCTTATTAAAGTAAATAAACAACTTTAGCCATCATCGAATATTCTGGAAGGTAAACGGAAATAAATCAATAAATAAATATACTCTTTAATAAATATACAAAGCATCTACCCAAATATGAATATCCACTAAAAATAATGTTTAAAGTGATTATATATATATATATATATATATATATATATATATATATATATATATATATATATATAAATAAAAGGCAGGATGTGTGTGTGTAACGAATGCATGGCCGTAATTTTCGACGGATTTGCACCAAAATTTACATGCACATGCTCCAAGTTAGCCTAGAGCTGGATGCCACGAATAGGCAGGAAGATTCTATTGGCCAGCGTGAGAGCCAACAGCTGACTGGCACGAATGTTAACAAGCATGCTAGCATGCACAAAAAAAAAATTGATAGCTGCATTCGTCACAAGTGTGAAAAATGTAAATCTGCATAGCACTTTACTCCAATTGGCTTATTCGCTTGCTTAAACTCAACGTTGATTCTGATTCCGGAGAACTGGATTGGGTGTGAAAAAGTATTTGTTGTTAACATTCTTTTTTCATTCGGTTTTTCCAGTTACGTTTTGTGTTCATTTTGTTTAGTTCTTTTATCGTAACAGATTTAATGTTTAGTATAGAGCTCAGAAAAAATTCGCAGTGTGAGAAGTAAGGCATGTAGCAACATCAGCACGTCAAAGGGCACTCCTTTAAAGGCAAGGAAGGTCAAAAATATTTTAAGTCAAGTGATAACGATTGCTGTATGAGTCGTACAATTTTTGAATAAAGCACGGGCAACGCCGGGCCACGCTGCTAGTACACACACACACACACACACACACACACACACACACACACACACATATATATATATATATATATATATATCATTTCGTTCACATCTCTCGCTCGCTCGCTCGCTCGCTCACTCTATCTATCTATCTATCTATCTATCTATCTATCTATCTATCTATCTATCTATCTCATTCCGTTGAAATGTATCTATTTATCTATCTATATATCTCATTCCGTTCATATCTCTCTATCTATCTATTTGGGTCTGTTTATATCTATCTATCTATCTATCTATCTATATATCTATATATATATATATATATATATATATTCCGTTCACATCTATATATATATATATATATATATATATATATATATATATATATATATATATATATATATATATATATATATATATATATATATATATATATATATTCCGTTTACATCTATCTATCTATCTATCTGGTATCGTTCAACAAGCTTCTTCATCCCTTCCACTAAAAACATTTCGGTTGTTCCCGCAGCCACACCTGCACCGCTTGTTTGTTTAGGCATCCAACAACGCATAAACTTTTCCACATCCCGATTTACCAGGCAACATGTCCTGTGCAGAAACATAGCCGATGACCCCGATTGCAGCCGCCCGTTATGCTAACGTGATTCGTCGGTCTTCCCGGATCAAGGCATCCACGCTCTGGCTGTGTTTTTTCGTGCGCATTGTTCATGGCCAACCTGATCTCGGCTTTTCGTCTGTTACACTGGTTGTTTTCGCTTTAAAGCGTTCTCGCTGCCCATACACCTTACGTTGTTTCCTGGTGCGTCTACGATTCTTCGCCAACACTCGTTGATGGATTTCCGCAGGTTTTTACACCGTCTGCCCACAGAAAGCGCAGCACAAAACGTTGTACCTCGGAGGTGCAACCGCTGAGTAAAAGCGTCCATATGTCTGACACCGTTGCTCCCTGCCATTCGCCTGAACGATGGAATGCTGCTCCCGGATCGCTACCCGTCATCCCTTGCGCATACACAGTATCCCACGTCAGCGTCACCCTGTGTGTTTTTTTTCTTTTTTTTTTTTTACCGCAATTTCAAAATTGCCTTTACACTCTGATTTACTCTCGACTATATATATATATATATATATATATATATATATATATATATATATATAATATACATATATATGAATATACATACATATATATATATATATATATATATGGATATATATATATGGATATATATGGATATTTATATGTATATATATATATATATATATATATATATATATATATATATATATATATATATATATATATATATATATATATAAATATATATATGAAAAGTGAATATAAATATAAATAAATATATATATGTATAATTATTTATATATTATATACATGGTACTTATTAGAAAGCGCTCAATATCAGAGATAGAGCTAACATATTTGGTTGGATAGATGTGAGTTTGTCTGACGATCGCTAAAGCGTGAAACCCAGGGTCACAAACTCACATCTATCCAACCAATACATAAATATATATATATATATATAATGCATATATATATATATATATGGATATTTATATGGATATTTATATATATATATATATATATATATATATATATATATATATATATATATATATATATATAGTGCATATAGACAGTGAGGACACAGGAATCAACATTGCATGTGAACTATCAGGTTTACTCATTATCTATCTCTATCTATCTATCTATCTATCTATCTATCTCTGTAGATCACCGTATGTAATGAACAATATTTTCTTACATCTAAGTCACCACGCCAATGAACAATGTTACAAGTTCTGCAGAAGACTGCATTTAATGAACATCACTTTGGTAAATCCACGATAGTCAGCACGGAAATGACCAATGTTACGTAAAATTGTATAAAATGCCAAATAAAACCATCCTCCATATCCTTGTTCCTATTGAGATGAATTCTGGAAATTGCTGCTGTAGATGTAATCTGCCCTGTAATTTACTTTGTATTCATAACTGATGTTTAGAAATATTTTCTAAAATCTATTTTGGTGGGTACTCTTCTAATCTAGTTGTCAGCAGTGGCCTATAAAACAGATTTAATCTTTTGTTTTTATTATTCGGCATGACGATAATATTGCATCTTGTGGCCTATGCAATTGTTTCCGTTTTACCACTCCCTCCTTGTTTTCCAGGTCGTTGTTCTGCGATCCATTTACTTGAACTGTTTCTCCCTTGCTTCTTTTTGTCATCAGCATGCCCTCGGAGTGTTAAATTCTCCAAGCCTTATTATGCCCCAAAGATTGTAGGTGTTTTTTTTTTCTAAAAAAACATCATATTGATTTTATTCTCAGTCTTTGTTGATAGAGCCACAACTCTATCTACTTCATTTTGTCCAACAATATAAAGTAAAACCTCGATTTAAAGAATTAACTGGAGGAAGAGTGTTCTTTAATTCTGATAGTTCCTTAAATCCGATAAATTTCTCATTTCTTAAAATAGAAATAAGTTCTGTAGGTCAGCATATTTAATGAACATTATTTTCTTGAATCCAAGACAGCACGAGAATGACCAATGTTACTTAAAATTGTATAAAATATATATATATATATATATATTAAAATGGGGAGAGAAACCGCAAACGTTTTTGGTTATAATGAGAATTTTTTAAAATACAGTG